TACGGCGGACGGCAGAAAGGGCCCAAAGGGACGATGAATGGGGATTGGAAGCATTGGAGGAGGCAATTCGAACAGGAGAAGGATAGCAGGAAGGGTAGCCTAAGCTGGAGTCAGCCTAGGCCGCACCCATTCCGCACGAAACACAAGGAGAGCACTGTGCTCGAAAGCCCTGCGCAAACAGGCGGTCTGGGGCGAGGAAAAGGATCAGAAAGAGTATGGAAGGGGGCTAGTGCCCCAGGAACTTATAGGGATAAGAGACTGTAGAATAGCTAACGGCCTCAAGTCCACGGATAATGGTCTGTCATAGCTCTAGGGCTCGGTATGGACAATAAACTTGATTAAATAATAATAATATTCTTAGCACCAGATCGTTCAGGACGAAGCATCAAGAGCTGAACATACCCACTGCCATACCAACTGTCGACGCCGGACTCGTACCAAATCCCTGGAAGAACCGAGCAGCCATATACCCGTCATACCTATCAGCCACTGCCGCTCCAATGGTCGATACCAATGCAATAGTCGTTCCAACGATGAAGACAATTCGACGACCGTATATCTCGCTGAGAGAAGACCAGAACAGCGGTCCGACTGAGAGGCCCAACGCTGGAATGGCGACGGTCCAGTTCACCTGGGCGTAATTGATGGCAAACTCAGACTGAATCTCAGGAAACGAGGGAACGGTGGTGGTCGTTATGTACGTGAAAAGGAGATATCTGTTTTGCACTCGTTGGTATATGGACAATTGCCTTTGCCGCAGCGGGAGGACGGACATACTTGAGCATCACGATGCCGAGAATGGTGTGCTTTTGGTGTCGGGACCAATTCAATGGATCCAGAGGGTCCGATGTAGGCTGGGGATGGACAATGTCTCCATTCTGACCCAACGATACATCTGCTTTCTTATTTGGTGCCTGGTCTTTCATGGCTGGAGCTCCGTGATTTCTAGGGAAGCGAGCCCGGTATGGTGAGCGATTCTAAGAATGACATTCTGTTGTCCTGGTGCGCTTCTGGTCTTTTTCATCTCGAGAACAATTTTCAATATCTTATCAGACACTGTCCGAAGTACGAGACAAACCTGTCCTACCCCAGCCGGGATTTTCCTGTAATGTCGACAAAGAGTGCCATTACAAGGTGACAGACAGGCTTGCCGCGACATACAGATGATAAGAGCAGCACTGACATGAAACAGGACTACCAACTCGGGGTAAACATCATCTAGTTACCATCTCTTTGCGCCGAGTTGTGCTCGCGGAACGGAGTCAGGGCCTGTGGGCCGGAGAGATAAACTAAGATGCATGAATAGCGCCACCACAAGCTTGGTTATTTCATTGTGCATTCTTGTTACAAACGGAATCACTTCATGATACTCAATCGAGCTTACTTGTAGATAACGAGAATTCGAGTGGATCGGAGGGCAGGAGAAAGAAAAAGTCGCCGGCCATTCAGAACTGTCGATAAGCCCTTCTGCACATGCCAATAGGCATTACAGCACCGGACTATGCGGGCTGACTCGATGCAGGATGGATTAGCCTTTCTACGCTTACCTGCCTTTCTGGGACAGATGCAAGTTCAGACCCTCACTAACTCCTTACAGCTGGATATACATACAGTTGGGAGCGAGCGAGATTAGAATGCATACTGCCACAACTTGAAGTTCTATATACCGGGGACTTTGCAGGCCAGAGCCCGCTAACAAAGCAACTTTCTGCTGCCCGTCTTCGACAATGGACCGACTTCCCCTTGAGCGCAGTGACAGCGCTTCCATCGCGAGTGAAGAGCCGCTCACGGAATATACATCGCTTTTGCCGAAACCGCTCGACGAGGAAAGCTGCAACAACCGAAGTAATTACCGCGAAGATGACAGCGTTCCTCGGGGTCGTCTCATTCTCTCTGAATTCTGGATCCTGCTCAAGGGATCGATCCCGGTTATTCTAGCCTACACGCTACAAAACAGTCTTCAGACCGTCTCCGTTCTAGTTGTTGGCCGCACATCGCCGGAGAATCTTGCCACCAGCGCTTTTTCGTTTATGTTCGCCATGATCACGGCCTGGATGATTGCCCTCGGTGGAACGACGGCTGTGGATACATTGGCTTCTTCGAGCTTCACGGGCAGCTCGAATGCGCATGACCTGGGCATATTGCTGCAGCGAGGATTTTTTGTGCTGGGGCTGTTTTACGTTCCGGTTGCTATTCTATGGGCTTGTTCAGAGCCGGTATTTCTCTTTCTGGGACAGGATCCGGCTCTGTCTAGAGATAGCGCGAGGTTTCTGACTTGTTTGATCCCTGGAGGGCTGGGATATATCTTTTTCGAGTTGATGAAAAAATATCTCCAGGCACAAGGTATGGCGCTCAACAACTCCTTGTTTGCCTCACTGACAGAAACCAGGAATCATGCGGCCAGGAACTTATGTGCTCTTAATCACATCGCCAATCAACGCAGCTCTGAACTACATATTTTGCTATACCTTCCAGATCGGACTGCTCGGAGCTCCCCTGGCGACCAGTATTTCATACTGGCTCTCTTTTTTCCTGCTCGTCCTGTATGTACGGTTTATCGCCGGTTCCGGATGCTGGGGCGGATGGTCCCGCGAGGCCCTTCAGAATTTGGGTACCTTTGCCCGGTTGGCGATTCTGGGAATTGTCCACGTCGGGAGTGAATGGTGGGCCTTCGAGATAGTCGCTTTAGTAGCTGGACGACTGGGAACGATCCCACTGGCTGCACAGAGCGTAATCATGACAGCAGACCAGATCCTCAATACGATACCCTTTGGCGTCGGGGTAGCCACCTCCGCAAGAGTGGGCAACCTTCTTGGCCTCCGCAGTCCGTCCGGTGCAGCACGAGCGGCGAATACCGCGGCATGGCTCAGTATGTTACTCGGGGGAGTGGCGTTGGCCGTGCTGATGGGCACCCGGAACCACTTCGCGAAGTTGTTCAACGATGATGATCGGGTGGTCAGTCTCACTGCCGAAGTCTTACCGCTGGTGGCCCTGTTCCAGATAGCGGACGGGCTCAACGGAAGCTGCGGCGGTAGTCTTCGCGGAATGGGCCGGCAACATGTGGGTGCGCTGGTGAACCTGGTCAGTTACTACTGCGGCGCGTTGCCGTTGGGAGTCTGGCTGGCGTTTCATGGATGGGGATTACAGGGACTGTGGGTGGGACAATGTATCGCGTTGTATCTGGTGGGGATGCTGGAATGGGCGATTGTTGCTTTGAGTAATTGGAATGTCGAGGTGGATAAGGCGTTTAAGCGGCTGGATGGTATGCAGTAGATAGTATGAATATACGAGGTATCAACAGTATCTTGTGTCCAGGGTCTTTCCCAAACGAGTAGTTGAACGAAAGGCCTTATCATTCGACGTCGTTACCCCAAGCCCGTTGCCGGAGATAAGATGATCGCCCTGTCACCACGATAAGATAACCCTGATATGGACTGATAGACATCGCCTTATCAGCTGTTTTTCTTCTTCCCCGACCTTCTCTTTTTGTATAATATGCGACGTGCATGGATTTTTGTCATTCTGCATGGATCATCAAGCTTTCGACTCTTAACATCCGGTTTAGGAAGTTGGAGGAAGTGGGACGATTGACCTACTCCAGAGTACGTTGTAGAGCAGAGTATCCGTATAGTATCCAATGTGGTCTCCGGCCATGATAAATATCGCCATGTACAGCTACAGTCGCTCAGATGGTCCTCATCTTCAACTAAAGCACCATGTTCATTTCAAAGAGAGCCCTTCTCGCCCTTGCTGCCGTCGCAGCGGCCCACGGTGACCATCGCCAGGAGCCTCTCGCCGGACCTCATAAGGGGTTGTGGTATAATACCATTCCTGGTGATGGTGGGACGCAGGTATGATTCTGCAATCACCTATCATTTAGTTGATTGATTGATTGATTGACCGTGTTTAATTACAGGCCGACTCTGTCTTCTCCGGTATCTCGACCTTCGGCCGCTTGCCATACTTCCCCTGTCTCGCGAGTGAAGACGAGAAGTATGATATTGCATTCATTGGTATGTTGAGTCTATCTGTTTATAGCACGATTGTATGCTAATAGCAACTAGGTGCCCCATTCGACACGGGCACCTCATACAGACCCGGTGCAAGATTCGGCCCCAGCGGGATTAGGCAGGGCTCCCGTCGGTTGAACCTCTAGTAAGTGTCTTTCTAGAAGAACGTTAATAAGATACTGACGGATGTAGCGGTGGCTATAATGTTCCCCTTGAGGCGAACCCATTCGTCGGTGACCTCCGGATCCTGGACTGTGGTGACATTCCCGTGACTTCGTATGATTCCGGTATTTTGACATGGATTGAAGGAAGCAAAGGGCTGACGAATGACCAGATATGACAACGGCTGGGCCATCCAGCAAATCGAATATGGCCACAACAATCTACTCATGCGGAAGCCCTTCACCAATGCTGATGAGAACGGTCTCTCAAGAGCGGGCAAGACCCTCCCCCGCATTATCACCATGGGTGGCGACCATACAATCACCCTACCCTTGCTGCGGAGTATTAACAAGGCTTACGGGCCGGTTACGGTGATTCACTTCGATAGTCATCTGTAAGTACACTGGCTCCTAGTCGAGGGTAAGAAGCTAACGATGCTGGTAGTGACTCGTGGAAGCCAAAGGTTTTTGGCGGATCGCCTAGCGAAGTTGCTTCGATTAACCACGGCACTTACTTTTACCATGCGGCCATGGAAGGCTTGTTGAGAAACGATACCAACATCCACGCCGGTATTCGGACGACCCTGTCGGGACCGTCGGACTATGAGAATGACGGATACTGTGGATTTGAGATTGTTGAGGCAAGAGAAATCGATACCATTGGTATGTATAGCCCACATAGAAAAGAGAAAGTGGTATTGATTAAACAGGTATCGAGGGAATCATAAAGAAGATCAGGGACCGCGTTGGTACCGAGAACCCGATTTACCTTTCGATTGATATCGATACTCTGGATCCTGCTTGTGAGTTATTCTCCGTGACCTCCACACAGACGATATATACTGACACTTTGCAGTCGCTCCCGGTACCGGAACCCCCGAGACAGGCGGCTGGACAACACGCGAGCTGCGTACTATTGTCCGCGGCCTGGACGGAATCAACCTCATTGGCGCGGACATCGTCGAGGTCTCTCCGGCGTACGATACAAATGCTGAGCTGTCGACTATGTAAGTCTCATCCTGCATCCAAATTTAGATTGACAGTCAAATAACGGGACCTGCCTTGATAGGGCCGCTGCGGACGTTCTTTATGAAATTATGACCATGATGGTGAAGAAGGGACCGTTGTCGCTTCCTGCCAGGAATGACCTGTGATGTATGATGATGGTACGGGGTACAAGATCGGATGTGGGTTTAAATAAAATACGAGATATAGCTTTAGCAAATGAAGTGATATATGATTTTTTGTAACTTCATCTACTCTGCCTACTTATGTCCCAACTAGATAAAAAAAAAAAAAAAAAAAAAAAAAAATGCAAGAGCAAACCGTCTATGTTTCAGAGATCCGACAGAAGAAAGTCACTGTTCAACAGGTTAATCATTCCAAATAGGTTTTTGGCCACATCCACGAACTAGCTTGGTTCCGTTCACGAAAGACCCCAACCAGTCTCTGATCCTGTCTGCGCTAGGAGGCAACCCAAGTAATCCAGATCGGTCACAAAATATAACCACATCACAATCATTAAGGTATGTTGAGGTTGCGAGCTCGCGCTCATAGCGTTTGAAGAAGTAAGGTTCTGACCAGAACAACATAGGATCTTGGCCAGCTACAAGAAAGCCATTATTATTGACTGCATTATCCAGGTGACCTAGTCAGAAAAAGTCACGTTTTGGATTCAGCTCAAATTGCGTAAATGTAGGGCTCTCCTTGTCAAGCCTCCATATTTCAATAACAGCCACGTGCGACATTGGAGGTTGGTGGGTAAGCATATATCTCCAACTGGCCTCCTTTCATAGATATGCCCTCTCTTTCTGAGGATCGATAAAGGGAAATTAGCATTTGCTGTATGTGGAACAGCGTCTTTGGCTATTCAGGCGCTTTCGAAAGTACTGTAGAGAAACAAAAACAATAGCCTAATATATAGTTGACGAGTGATGACCGTTCTTGGCAGTTGTCAGTTTTGAGCTTATTCTAGGCAAATCACACATGATTGTCGCCTGTATGATGTTAGACCTCAGTTAGCAATATGGCGCGAGCAATGATATTGGACGATATGAAGACCGGAGTCAGAGATCCCGCAAAGAGCCTCTTCCTACATGAGTTCAGCTTGGATGACGTGGAGAGGGCCTTTCAAATATCGCCAGATCCAGATGGTTTGTATGACTGGGATCAGTCTTCGCCGGACTCTCCTGATTCTAGATGTTTGCGTGAGTGGTGACAGACGCCCAATTGTCGAAGCCCTCTAATTCTACTAGATTGGATCTTGTCGTTCTACAAGATCTATGCATGGTCCTTGCAAGGAGAGACATCACAGCGAACGCGATTAGATGCTATCCTCCTTACCGTTCTTGCACAACTTGGCATCTCATCGGCCTCTACATCCCGGAGCGAAAATTCTAGCTTGACGATGCGATTCTATCGTAGCCATGGACGTCGAATCGCGGCATCATTGGTTCAAGGGATGGCAGGAATATGCGTCCGGCTGGAGCGCAGTCAATTGATGAACGGGCAGAGAAAGGTTCGTGGTGCATATGTGAACCAGAACGAGAAGCCAGACTCGCTGGGTCAAGAGATTTGAAGCTATTTTCTCTGTACGGAAGTAGAGCTGATAACATAGTATGTCTTTTGGCATTTTAATGACACGCTGGACCTCGACCGGGTTTCATGATCAGTAACTAGATGAATCCTACTGAAATGAAGCGGCTACTTTCTGATTTGCTCTAAACAATGAGCTTGTAGTTCGTAATAATATTCATCGAGTAGCTAAAAAAAAAAAAATAAAACGCTGCCATCTTGCGGTCCTACAATCACATCTGCAGCGAATGTCCATGGTATTTGGTTGGCGCACCCAGCAATGTCTTGCCCTCAACCTCCGTCCGTTCGGGGAAACCGTCAAAAGACAATGCATAGGTAGCCACGGAATGAGAAATGAGCTTTGTACTCCATTCCCAGGCGGTCAGGTTGACATTGCTCACATCATCACAAAGTTGGTGATAGCACGAGTCGTATGCAACTCCAGCTTGTCCACCAAACATCTCCTCTTCATCCTTGGACTTGATCCCTTCCGCCCCCGTTGCAATGCCACCGCCAGGAATACCGTTCTTGATGAACGCGTCATAGTCACTGCGTCCATCGAACGGAATGAACATATAATCCAGCCCATTCGATTCGTAGAAATCGATATACAGTTCTCGTAGTTCCTCCGATCCAGTCGGGTTCGCAGCATTAGTAGCATTGTAGATTTGGTAGGCAAAGTTTGGACCAGCCATCATATCGTAGTCCATGAACAGACGGATCTTCCGGTTCTCATCGGCAGGAAGGACAGAGACGTAGTAGTCCGAGCCGAGGAGACCCTCTTCCTCACCCGCCCACCAGGCGAAGCGAACACAGTTGTTGACGTGGTAGTTGGTCAGCTGGGTCGCAACCTCCAGCAGACTCAGAGTCCCGGATCCGTCGTCGTTGATTCCAGGGCCGGCCTCGACGCTGTCGCTGTGGGCACCCAGCATTACACAGTTCTCCGAATCGCCCTCAGTGGTTTGGGCAATGATGTTTGTCGTTGTAATTGTGTTGACGACCGCGTCCATATAGGCAATGCCGTCGACATCCCCACCGTGTTTTAACTGCTTGAGGTATGGAGCAGCATCCTCATCGGAAATTCCAAAGGTGGCCACATGGTTGGGAGTTGGCGTGCCCAGGGTTCCACTTAGCGGGCCCTCCTCATTATTGTAGACCACCGCCGCGACCGCACCCGCCTTTCCCGCCAGCTCGGACTTGGTACCGAAGGGGCAGGTTCCACGGCTGATGAACGCAATCTTATTCGTAAGGTCGGGGAAATCTGACTTCTCACATCCGAAATTCGAGACTAGGCCCAGAGACCCGTACACTGGTTGACGATCTTTGGTCGGAGGCGTCAAGCCCATGGGTTGAGCGGACTTGGGCACATCGTGGGCGAGGACAAGGCGAGATTCATAGACATTGCCAGTAACAGCCGGAAAGTCCTGTCTGGAGATGTGGTAATAGTCACCCAAGGCATGGATTGTCTCGTAGATATAGTCAAGTGTTCCGCGGTGTCCTATACCGGATCCATAAGCTTGATCCTCAACCAACGATGAGCAGTCAATGCTTACCCTCACTTCCGATAACCCGCGTAGGATGGTTATATTCATCCACGGAAGATTCAGCAACTTGAAACAGCGCCTTGGCCCTGGCCAGCAGATTGTCTGGATCGATCCGTTCCTGAAGCGAGGCCGAGTCAACCAGTTTCCGCTCGGTCACCGCATTTGGAATCTGGGGGATCTTTGGCAAGGAAAGAGGCCATTGAATAGCAGACGCCTCTCCAAGGAGTGCAAGAGCAACCGTCAACTTTGCCAAAGCCATTGTGAGTGTGTACAGAGTATAGTAGTACTCTGTACTCTGTAGAGAACAGAGAGAACAACAATCACCGCTCCTTCGTGCGTCAACCGCACGTGATAACGGACTATCTTCTTTCCGCGCCAGCCAATCGGTAGGGGTTCCCTTATCAAAGCTTATCCGGGGGAGATTTGTGCATAGTTAATTTATGCCCCGGATTACAAATGCATGTAGATTTATGCACCACAATGCCACCGAGAATTATGCATTTATCTCCGTATGTCCCAATACCCAATACCCAATACCCAATACCCGTTATATGTACATACATTCAAGTCCCCGACATGTTCGAAAATTATATATATATAATACAAGCTTACAGAAGAGATTTTGAAAAGAGTGAAATGTGCTCAACGATGACGCAGAGGTGAGCCCCAGTGGTCCGGTGGTGTTGTGGCTGGTCCCGGATCGTTCCAGGGGTCGCTCTGGACAACCGTTTCCGACACGACAGTAATGTCCTTGGATTGCCCGTGGCCACTTTCCACGGCCAGAATATGTTCGTCGCTTCCCCAGGCCGTGGTTTCCGGGATGTATGGAGGGCTGTTGTTCTTCTTCTTATCCTTGTTCGTCGTCTGGAGGCCGCGGCTCGAGAGCGGGTACGTATTCGAGTTCGTTGGTCGGCCGGAGTTACTGAAGAAGACGCCGCTCAGTCCCATCTTGTTGCAGGCTCGGCGGATAATCGGCTGAATGATGGGGAGGTTCGATACAATGATGGACACAAAGGTTTCACGGCAGGCCCATCGACTGCCAGAGATAGCACCGTCAGGTCCAGCCTAGAGTATCGATTAGCATAATCCGTCGCATCGGAGAAGACAGGAGACTTACTGTCAGGATAACTACAGCACGGATGATGGAAGCCATAATCACAAAAGCCGCACCACTGAAGAGGCCCATCAGCGTGATCTTGCGACGTATGCCAATATTGACCGTCCACAAGAGCTGGACCGTCAGCAATGATGTTCTTGGAAACGGTGGGATATCGACATACCGGCAATGGAATGGAGAGTAGGTATAGGTCTGTGATCACGTTCAGAATCACCACCACCAACACATATAGCAGTGACTTTGTCGGCTGGCATATATCTGCGGTCGGTCGTCAGCACTGGTTCCCTGTTCTTCATGAGTTGACAACTCACTTCCAGGGTCCGGATTAATCTGCCAGTATTTATGGATGGGCTGGCAACCCAAGACAATGGACAGGCCCGCAGCCAGGTAGGTCACGCCTAAAAGAACATAGGCGATACGGACTCGCGTGGGCAGATGCTGCAGCCCAGTCCTGATTTCGATTTAGCATTCCTCTCATTCCGAGTCGAGCGGCATGGACATACGTCAGGCGTGAGTAGAAGATGGCGACACTGAACTTGACCAGCCACAGAATCATCGCATAAAACGACCATCCCATCACTTGAATCTTGGACCCCCAGACACGGCTATTGTATTCCTCCGAGTACGGGACGACGGCAGCCCGTTGCTCGGGCGTCATGTAGCTGTTTGTGAGGCCATTGAACTTTGCGAGGACCAAATGCGCGGCCACGGTTTCGAGAACGAAGATAATCTAAGTCCGTTAGTGAGATCAGTCGTGCACATTTGCCGAAATGCTTACCCCCGCCAGCGGCATCAAATAATCATCGAGTTGGAAATTAGCCGGCCCAACGGAGGTCCAGCGCACTACTACCCGGATGATAATAAAAACCAACCCGAGCGACATGAGGATGAAACCCTCAACGGAAGCGTCACCGGGCGACATGGTGACAATGGTTCGGACAGTGACCGCAAGTTGTTAAGCAGGAAAGAGCCTGGACGAATATTGAAGGAGCGAGAATGGAAAAAGTCAAGTCCCTTGGGCTCCATCCATGCAGTAAGTGTCTGGGCGTCTGGCGGTATTCCAGAATAGATATAGTGACCGGCAGTATGGAGCCACCCTTTTTTTCTCTTCCCTTTTCTATTTAATTCTTATTTAATTTTTTTTTTTAAGTCCTGCTTGCTTTTTCCATATCTTTTCTTATTTCTTATTGCAGGCTCTGACGACGATCAGCACGATTCACTAAACCAAAATGTTCCTGCCGGCTGGGATAGTACGGAGCATACATAATAACTCGGAGGTTCGAGTCGAGACACACCTCCGGAGTCCATACTAAAATTGCAGAGCCTCCTTCATACGTACGAAACAGCCAAAATAGTAAACGTACATCTGGATTTGCATTCTGAGAACTCTATTCTGCAATTGATCAACAAACTGCCGGAGATTGATCGGTCACCCTCCGACGCGGCATAAGAGGACGCCATGTGGAGCAATGGAGAGACCGATGTACTTGGGAGTATGGTCACGGCAAGCACCACAACAGGTGGAGAAAAAAAAGCAATATAAGCCAGGGGATGTTGAATACGCCTTGTTGGAATTGGTTCTGCACTTCTTTCTAGGGGAATCAACGGTCACGCAAGGACCATTGCTATGCGAATAGGGGGGCCGAGGATAGTCCGTATCGCTTGGCACATTTCTTTCCTGACACAGGACTCAGCAATACGCTACAGCTACGGCCTTAGTCTAAGCTATGCGGCAGATCTCAGCCAGTTAAAAGGCCCACCATGGTTGACAATAACATGACAAAGTGGATGCCAACCCCACAGTTTTAGACCATTCTGACCCGCAAGTTCCGGCACAGATGTACTCCGTACAAGTATTCGTATTCGGGAGGGAATATGGTCCTGGTCGAATTTTATTCAGCTCCAGATTCTGGAGATCATAATCCTAGTCGAAATGTGAGCATCTCTTCCCCGGTACCGGGATACAACTACTAGTGATGTACACTCACCATTAACCATATGCATAGAATAGTGCTCCGGATGCCCAATAATGCCAGACGATCCCACCGCCAACTGACATAGTGGAGCTCGTTTCCGTTTAGTGAACGCGACAACGCCTAACGGGGAACCGGATGTCTTCCCTGATAGCTCCACACGACGATCCCACACATGACAGACTACGGAGTAAATGGGGAACCAGAAGAAGAAGCGGTCTTCTTGTTCGGTAACATCGTGCTCCTCTAGATGCCGGTCTACAAAATGAAGCTAAACAGGCCCCCCTATCCGTGGCGGGGTGTATAAAGGCCATCTTCGGCTGCGGGGGATAATAATGTCGCAGTAGCATCTTCTCCTTTCGTGGTGTGTTCTATAGTCCCACTTTGAAGAAACCAACATGGAGTCCTATGATTTTATCGTCGTTGGCAGTAAGATTGACCCATTCGCATTTGTATATCAAGTCAAGTCCGGTACGGAGTACTGATGCGACATTGTGTTTAGGTGGCCCGGCCGGTAGTACCCTCGCAGCCAACCTCGCCAAGGCTTCCCAGAAACCCAAAGTCCTCCTCCTTGAAGCCGGTGGTCGTAATGAGGACCGCAATCTGCGTGTCGACGGCCAGCGATGGTTGACTTTCCAGAACAAGGACATGAACTGGGGATACAAGACCAGCCCCCAGTCCGACTGCAATGGCAGAGAGATCGATTATTCTCGTGGCTTGGGTTTGGGCGGCTCCAGCGCCATCAACTTTGGTGTCTACAGTGTTGGTGCGCGTGACGATTATGAAGAATGGGCTCGCATCGTTGGCGACGACGCCTATGCCTGGAAACCCACTCAGCGCCGCTTGAAAGCTCTTGAGACCTTTCACGGTGACCTGCCTCAGGGTATCGACTCTAAATACGCTTCGCCAAAGGCAGATGATCACGGCACGGCTGGTCCGCTGCACGTGGGATTCGCATCGGAGTGGGAGCGTGACTTGCCTCCATTGCTGGACGTTTTCCAGCAGGCCGGCTTTCCTCTCAATCCAGACCACAACTCGGGTAACCCAATCGGCATGAGTGTTCTGATCAATTCGTCCTACAAGGGCGTGCGGTCGACCGCCTCTGACCAGCTGGTCCTGTGTTCGGGCAACTTGACGGTAGTGACCGATGCGCCGGTCCAGCGCGTTGTGTTGGAAGGAAAAAAGGTCGTCGGTGTCGAGGCCAACGGCCAGAAATGTAAGTCGTATCCCCCCCCCCCCCCAGACTAGAAAGGTGCTTGCTAACTGAGGACAGACCTGGCGTCGAAGGAGGTTATCTTGTCGGCTGGTTCACTCAATGACCCCAAGATCCTGATGCACTCCGGTATTGGTCCCGAGGACCAGCTGCAGAAATTCGATATTCCCGTCGTCCACCCCGTGCCGGCCATGGGCAAGGGTCTCCGGGATCACTGCTTCGTGCCTCTAGTAAATGTTCGCAAGGAGCAGTCGACTGACCGTCGGGCTTTCTACGGTGACAAGAAGGCTATGGACGAGGCCCTGGAGCAGTGGAACAATCACGGCACCGGTCCCTGGTCCAAGTTTGCATGCGAACTGGGCATCGGCTGGTTCAAGCTCGATAAGCTCACTTCCTCCAAGGAGTTCCAGGAGCTGCCCGAGAGTGAGCAGAAGTTCTTGCTGCAGGAGACCGTCCCTCACTATGAGATCCTCACGCATTTCCCCATCCATTGGTTCATTCCGGATTTCCCCCAGAGCGCACTGGACTATTCCTGCCTGCTTGTCTTTTTCTTCAATGCCCAGACTCGCGGTGAGGTGACCCTGCAGTCTGCCGATCCCGACGTGCCGTTGCACTTCGATCCCAAGTTCCTCGCCCACCCCTTCGACCGTCGCGCCGCCATCGAAGCTCTGCGCGATGCCTTCCGGATTGCCCGTCACGAGGATTATGTCAAGGACAACGTGCAAGAGCTGGCCGGTCCGAAGTCCGACTCTGACGAAGATTTGCTCGAATACTGGCGACAGAACATCTCGACCAGTTGGCACATGACCGGTACGCTCAAGATGGGCAAGCAGGGTGACGCTGATGCCGCTGTTGACTCGAACTTCCGGCTCATGGGTATCGAGAACCTGCGGGTGGCTGACATGAGTGTTGTCCCCGTGCTGGCCAACTGCCACGTCCAGGCCGTCGCGTATGTGACGGGTGCAACCTGCGCTGAGAAGTTGATCAACGAATACCAGCTGTAATGTATATAAGACTAGCATATATTAATAGAAATACGCCTGAGGCATCTGACCGATTTTAATCTCTCGCAAATGCTATTGGAATTCTATCTGGATCCTAATCGTAACACTCCGTAGGGATCACAGGGGGTTGGAAATACCAATACCTGAGAGGTCTCCTACGTCGACTTTCCATAAACGAACAGTCTTTGATCGAGCGGCTCAAACGTCTTGTCCCGTGGAGGACCGGCTGGCTTTCCGAAGACCAGCTGGGCCGTCAAGCGCCATTCCGGTGGTATGCTCCACTGCTGAGAAGCGCGCTCTTGCAGTATCTCATTATAATGCTGTAGATTGCATCCAAGGCCTTCCGCCTCGAGGAGTGTCCAAGCTATTCAGAGTATCAGCACGATGTATTTCAGAGATAAGAGTCCGCCGATCACTCACTAGCAAATTGGTGCATTCCTGTAGAATGACTTGCCCCTGGTAAATGTAAGTTCCTGTTTTCTATTGATGAATGTCATGGACACTGCGTACATTCCGGGAACTGGCCTTTCAATATCGAAAATTTTTCCGATAGCGCCTTGGTCGGTGCTGGATCCTCGTAGAACAGTACCTATCGAAGTCTTAGCAACCGGTTCATAAATACTTTACAGACCAATAGACCAAGATACTGACCGAGCCATAGGCGGCACCGGACATTCCAATGCGATTCTTAAAAAGCTTCTCATACAGTTCCGGTGGGATGCTGGAGCTGGCGACTTCACGAGCAATCTCCCATAGTTTCTGGTTCTCCTCCTTAAGCAACACAACGATACGAGTTGTTTGGCTATTGAACGAACTCGGGGTGTGCTTGACCACCTCCGCGATTAGCTCTTCGAGACGCTCGTCGGAAATTGTGGATTCATTCGTTAGAGAATAGATGGATCGACGGCCCCTGAAACCGTCCGAGATTTCATTTGCGAGGGAAGTCATTTCGGTAAAGACTTGCAGAGGAGAGCGTTTCTTCAAGGTACTTTCCGTGTAAATGAGCGGCGTTTTGGTTCCTTATACCCGGGCCGGGCTGCGGCTATCGGAGGATGACCTGCCCAATTAAATCAAATCCGACAATCACGAAAGCAAAACAAGTGATGACGATATATAGTAAGATCTCCGTTGTGGAGATTGCTCGCTTATCCCTTATTTTTATCTTCGACTTTCGTGGTTGAAGCGACGTTGTCCCTGTGTTTGTGGCAGGTTTCAAATATATATATGTATATTGCGTACGGAGTAGCACATATAGTGGATTCGCAATCCGGTACCGATAAGGACAAGATACAAACATACAACGGCAACTCTCACGTCAGCTGGTGGCATGGAGTATACACAATCGAATGTACTCTATGCGTGCCGTACTTGGTCTGTGTACATTCGGCTAGATCCGGACCATTGGATCTCCGCCCACTGACTCAGATTCATATGTGTATGTATGTAGTCTGTCTTCTTGGAGACAGATCATACGACGAGTATAACAATCGTCGAACGAGATGCTAGACGGCATGGACATAACCCTAGCTGAAACAAAATCATGGACGGACCGAAGACCAACATCTGCGCAATGCCTGCTGTTCCATCATTGATATAGCGAGAAGACCCTCATGCCGAAGTTGAGGCGCTATTGCCTGTATCTTGGCTGAAGGGAACTCTTACCTCGACTTCTCATCGGATTTAGGTGGATACAGTGTACGATGCCGAGTCATATGGTATTCGTATTCGTCACCCAGTGCGTTGCATCCCGAATGCAGACCACCAAACTTTCAGCCTTGATTTCAATGTGCGGACTCGAATCCCCAACTCTATTGCATATTAGTGGCTTCACAACTGGTGTACTGAGCGATGGGCCCGGCATATCATCTTCGAAGAGATTCATCTTGGCCTGTTGCTAAGGTCCAAAGGCATTGTTAGTTTCGGGGTTGGCTTTCCTGAAGAAATCGATGAAGGCACGATGGTCACTGTTTATTTCCATAGTATTACGCAGAACATAGTTACAGGTATGATAATTGTATCTATCCAAGCTGCTAGATCCGCAAAGTCAAGCGGTAGTGCTCAACAAGCCATTCATACATTTCTCCACTCTTTGTCTGACCAACTTCACAACAAGAGAGCTCCGCCATTAGTGCTGATAATGCTGCCGGTAGCATTGGTGTCCTTCATGAAATAAACGTATGCCTCTGCCACCTCATCTATGGTGCCGACCTTGCCCAATGTGGTAAACTTCTCGGTACCGGTCGGAACGCCATTCGGTCCCCAGAGGGGAGTTTCAACCGCACCCGGGCTGACGAGGTTAACACGCAATGGCTTCAAATCCAGAGCCATGCTGCGTGTCATGCCATGGAGCCCCGTTGCGTATCCAGCCACCAACGACCAATTCGGCAGTGGCTTTTCCGACAAAGACCCGGTGGTCAAGGTGAAAGAGGATCGGAATCCTGGCCTGAGGAATCGCGGAGCCAGTTTGCCTAGCAGGAGCGGAACAAAGAATCGGACGTGACCTGCGCGGTGGATGGTGTCCAGGTCAATGTCTTTCAGCGACTTTATGGAAAGATTGTCGCCTGCCGTGAATACAAGATGGTCCAGTGGGCGGACGGTAGTAAGGAGCTTTTCAAGGCGCTTCTCGACATCTTGACCACCTAGGTCGCAGACATGACCGGTAACATGCGCATCGGGGAACAGTTGCTTGAGAGAGTCGATGCTCTCGCTGACCCGGGAAACGTTCGACGACGCAATGTGGACGTTGGCTCCCTCGACCAGGCATCTTTTGGCGACGCCGTAGCCAATGCCGGAAGTACCCCCGATAACAAGGATGTTGGTATCTTTGATGGGAGTCATGGCGTAACTTCCGAAGCGGGGTTGTAGGATCAAAAGGAAATGTGATTAGACGCTGACGAGCCGCAGAGAGCAACTCCTGACCTCTTAGAGAAGGAAGCAGGCTTACGAAGGATTAGAGCCGCCAGGGATCACAGAATTATATGCTGGTGTAACCCTTAGTCAGATCGTGGATTGATAATCGTCCGGAGATAACTAACGGATTTTGGCCCCCAGCTTGGCCATAACACATCAAAGCATCTTGCTCTGTTAGTTATATGGTAGTTGAATATGTATATATACATATACCACATTTCACCGGCAATGTAATTAATCACTGACTTGGCAACAGACACTGCAGTTTCCCCGTAACGAAGGACCCGGCTAGCTCTGCATTTCAGTTATATCACCCGGATTACTTGGGCCTGCCTTTGCCCTCCGCGACGGATGCCACGCAAACCGGGCAATCGATTCTGATATGGGGTGGTGCGTCTTCCGTCGGTGCAACGACAATTCAGCTAGCCGTTGCCTCCGGCCTTACCGTCGTCACGACTGCGTCCCCTCCCAACCATGATTTTGTCAAATCACTCGGTGCTCATGTCGTGCTTGACTACCAATCTGTGACCGTCGCTGAGGACATTGCATCTGTGCTGCCAGTAGGCGATAGCTTCCTTGGGGTCTATGATGCAATTGCAGAAGAGAGCAGCTTCACTACCATATTGTCAATCCTGAATCGCTTGGGCGTAGCTGTGCCTGTTGCCAGCGTGTTACCGTATGGCGGCCAGTCTACAGAACGATTTAATCCTAAATTCAGTAATATTGGGCCGATTAACGTCTTCACAATCATCCTGAAACACTGACATTCTTGTGCTACAGTTATGGCATCCTCGATTGACCTGGAGCCGCATGAATACATTGGTGAATATATCTGGGCACTTTCTTACCGCAGGCTCTTACAAACGGGACCTTCCAGGCGAAGCCGGATCCGTACGTCGTGGGCCATGGAATCGAAGATATTCAACACGCGTTTGATATCCAGAAAAAGGGCGTGTCAGCCAAGAAGGTTGTCGTTTGTAATTGCAGAAACCAAGACTTGTCCCATTCTTAGGCTCCAAGATTTATCCCTTGTAGTCCCTTGGCTGTCAGCTGCTCTTGCACCAGCTGCATATGGTCGTTTTAAATGTTCCCTAGTTGGTTCTCGATAAATCGGATAATCCAAACATGCGCACGCTGTGGTTCCAGGCAGCGTCCGCCACCTCTCCTATCCGACGGGGGGCATTCGACTGACGGAGAGTCGAATCGAGTCTTGGCACTTTACTATGGGAGAAAATTGTGGAGAGTACCCCGAGTCGAATG